GGAGATGTTTTCATATGGTTACAATGTTTAGTTACAGTTTTATTAAGAACGTTGCAAAGGATAGAAGAAAGCAAAGGTGCACTGTGGACTGGAGGTTTTTATTGAAGCAGTCTGAATGTGCACTGTAGATGTTAAAATTATCAAGGCACTGGTTCTGTGGCAGTATAACATAGATCTACCCATAGCACTGCTAAGACTGGGTTTCTAGTTGCATCACGAAGGTAAATGAAGCTCCTGTGCTTAAAGGAGTAAAATTTGGTTACATTGCCTTTCAGTGGATATTGGATAACTTTTTCTCAAGCTTGGAAAATAAGGTCTCAGCTAAGTGCTGGTAAAATACTCCTATTTCTTATCTCTGCATTCCTGTTGTACTGCAGGGTATAACTTCTGGAGTGTTCCGTACTCCATGTGCCACAGATGATGCAAACTGGAGCACAGCAGAATTTTCAGTGCCATTGCTTTGGTGCTCAATACAAGTAGCAAGGCAGGCCCTTCAAGCAGGTTTAAAACTAGTCCTGCAAGTTATAGGGCAATTTTTTGAGTATTTTCCTGAACCGTTACTGCTTTTTGAAAGATCTGTATTGAAAAAGGGTCCTCTTTGCCAAACTTCCGGGCTGGAGAGGCAGTGAGAAGATGCCTCYCTTACCTTTTATTACAAAGTTTTCAAATAAAGAATTTCAATAACTGTTTCTCCAGGGTTCATTCTTTTCAAGGTAAGGGCGTAAAGTGATAATGTTCACATGGCAATTATGTATTAAAACGCAGGACCACCTACCGTGGGGAGAGCCGATGCCGCATGTATTTTGGTGCATCTCACTAGAAATGCCCATTCCTGTTTGTGTTTGGAAGGGTCACACACGTTGTCATTTATTGCCGTCAACAGCGGGGCGGTGGGTGAATCCGGGCTGATATGCAAGGGAGCAAAGGTGCACGGCCCGCACCGACACCCSTGAGGGAGAGTCCGCCCGGCCCTCACAGCCCCGGCCCTCGCCCGCCTTCTCTGCTCCGCTCGGGGCCGTTCCCGCCGCCCGTCACCGCCTTCCCATTGGCCCGCGGGCCGCCCGCCGCCGCCTCCCATTGGTCCGTGACCGCTAGCAACGGCGACAGATATATCCTGCCGCGCTCTGATTGGCTGCCGCCTCCCGCCGAGCCATAGCAACAGCGGGGCGCGCGCGGCGCCTGAGGGGGCGCGCGGAGGGGGGTGAGGCTGAGGGAGCGGCGGGAGCCCTGAGGGGAGGGGGACGCACAGGGACCGCCGCGCCTTGTGAAAACCCATTCTCCAGGCGCTGTCACCGTCGTTTCTGCGGCCTTCGGTGCAACGGAGACGGGGCACGCTCAGGAGCCAGTCAGGGACGCGGCTCCAGGCAGAGGCATCAGCCCCGTAGCAAAATTCCCACTGGGTCTTGCTGGGCTGCTGTCTGAGATCCCAAATAAGGTACTTTTAGTTTTCAGCCTTGCTGATATGACATGTCACTACAATGACTATGATTTAGCCAGTCAGTGGTATGTGATACATGTGGATGAAAGCCAGGGAGGTTACATTTCCCTGCTGCTGAAGATGCATTGGAGTAAAGAGGAATGATGCCTCTCTTACAATGAGATGTATTTTCAGTTTCTTTCAAATACATAGTTCTGTTCCATGTCAGGGGAAATAAGATTAAATGAACATTGTCTGTATAGAAATTTTAGGTATCTGTCATTATAAATAGGTTCTTTTCTAAATAGGTTCTTTTCTAAGAAACCACCCATGCTAGGGAATGCAGGTATTTTGGCTTTGCATATAAGTGACCTTTGTTCTACCACCTGAACATCACTAGTGTCCTAAGGCCTTGTAAGTTTTTCAAATAGTGCAATAACATGGTTGTTTTGAGTTTGTAGTTAAAAAGACAAGGCTCAATTCAGCAAAATTTCTCAGGAGTCCTAGAATAACAGGTCTCTTTTCCAAACTTAAAACTGAAAAAGGATTTTCAGCTAAAGCAGAATTAAAGCCTTTTCTTTTACACTTAATGAATTTAATTTCTGAATTTGGTACAGTTGTTCTCTGGAGAACAACTGAATTTTCTAGGCCATTTCCCAAGTGAAATAATGTATTACTTTTCCGAAAATTTATGTTAGACAATTCAAAGCCTGATATGTAAAATCAAGCAAATTAAAAGTATTTCTCTTTAAGAGATGTAAATTCAAGTGGTTAAAGTACAGTGTATTCTGGCCTACTATTGCCCCATGTCACTTGGATATTGAACCTGCACAAAGAACCTTTGAGGAGCTAATTCTGTTTGGGCAGAAATTTGCAGTCTCACAGGACCTGGCTATACTGAGTCACAGGTGGCTGAGCAGCATTCAGGGGTAGGCTGCTGCTTCCCCTCCATGAGCCAGAACAGACCGGGGGCCTGGCCATGCAGTTGAGAAAGAGAACAAGTGAATCTGCCTGATGCCAATGGTGCTTTTGGCCTTCTGTGCCTGTGCTGCTGGCTGGAGTTGGTCTTTCAAGGAAAGCCTAGTGGAGTTCTTTCCACTGTATTCATGTTAGGATGGCATTTTTTTCCATTTGTGTCCTACCTCGCTCTGGTTTCCTAGGTGTGATTTGCATCCCCGTCATGTTCTGCTTTCCCTATCCTACCATCTGTAGCAAGCTCTGGATGTGTTTATGTTGTTCTTTCTTGGAGCTGTACTTGGAATCACGCTGAGCACGTGGTTGACCTGCCCCAAGCTGAATGTGCTGTACCTGCTGTTGTCATTCTGCCGCCTCCACATGGCATGGCCTAGCAAAGGCATGCCCTAGATAGAAAAAAACCTGAAGTTATTTTTATCCTAAAATGCATGTAAGGACCCAAAAACCAGTGCTTTTATGTGTTGATTGGTCACAGAAGGGGGGTGGAAATCCAGGAGCACTTTCAGAAGTTCTGTTACTTGGCTTTCCCTGAGGTGAGCGGGACACTTTCCCAATAGGCAGCATCCATGTTTTCCAGCACTGTTGCTAGAGGCAGCTTTTCTCTTGGCACTTCAGCAGACAGCCCTGAGCCTGGCAAGGTCAGAGGCTGAGGGTGGTTGTACCCTGCAAGTGTGGTATGGAAATGGCTGTGTGGAGTTCCTGCACAGCAGATGCCATGAAAGCTTCCCTGAACTAATCCATGACATTGCTAGAGGGGATTGAGGACATGAGCAACAGCTTTTCCTGTTTGCAATTCCATTGGCAGTTCCACTTGCTTTCACAGTCACTGGTGTATCCAACACCCACTTAGGACAAATTCTGGGAGAAACAGCTTCAAGGCCAGTGTTTTCAGGCGTCTCTTGTTCTGGATGCCTGGCTCACCTTGCTTGGGGCCTCATTTTCAGAGGAAATGAGCACTTTATGCAGTGACTCAAATAGGGCACCCAGAATAAGAGACCACTTTTGAAAATGTTGGCAAAGGCATTTTGTTTTATCTCTGCACTTCATTAGTCTTATCCCCAAAGTCTTTCATGTTATGTTCTACAGTGAAAGGTCATTGTTTCAGATCAATCATTTCCCATGGGATTTAATCAAGTTTTAAGTCAAACTAATCCACTTTGGTAAAGGTTGAAGAGCAGTAAAAATTAATTTGTTAAGAGGGATCTGGTCTTACTTTTTAAATGTGGCCGTTGATGCTGAGTCTTTAGTTGTGTATGCTCAGCATGAAGTGTCTTCGGAGAGATTCCAGAAATAATGGGTATCTAAATTCTGATCTTATTTGTAGGCTGCAAGTGCTCAGAACTTCTGGAAAACCCCTGGGATTTAGTAGGATTGAGTTATTTTGTACTCATATTGTTTTCTTATTTCCAGTATTACCTTAACACAGGTTGTTTCTTTTTCCTCTTACCTGTAGAGCCTCTTTTCAATATGGTGCTCTGGTGGCAGCTGCTGATAAGCAGGCTTTTTCATGTTATCCTGTTGAAGCTTGTGAATTTTGGTTACTTTCCCTTCATTACATAAAGAGTAAAACTGCATTCTTCTGTCTGGGCAGAACTAGCAAACATCGTGGTATGAAGTAGCTCATGAGGAGTTAAAGCTGCTTTCAATTAGCTACTGAGTTCTTGCCACTTAAAGGAACCCCCACAACTGAGCATGCTTGACAAGCTCCTGTGCATATCCCTGAATCATTCTGGCAAGGAAAAACTGCCATAATATTTTATTCAGACATAGTGCTGTTTCCTCACTGGACTCTGAAATGAACAGGTGCTTGAAGATAGCACATTTTGCCAGAGAGTTCTGAGGGTTTATYAGCTTGTGTCTGCACAGGATTTTGAACATGCAAAAGGCTACTGTGTGTGAATGCTGAATGGTATTAAATACACTGCAGTGATCCCAAATAAGCTTCAGGGTACASACCTACCCTTTCCCATTAGGGAGCAAGCACTTCGTAGGTTTTGTACAAATCACTACCCTTCTGTTTTGAGGTTCTTTCCATGTTGGTGAATAGATACACAAGGTACTTGTGTATCTATTGCAATGCATGGCATGAACCCTGTTGCTGCTGCTAAGCAGCTCTCAGGCAGTGTTATCTTTCTTCATTCTAGGATTTACCCTTGAGTTATGAGGGAGGTTCTGTGAGAGTGATTCAAGATGAATATGAAATTGAAATATGACAAAGAGTAGAATATTTTCACACACTGTGACAGCCTAGAGGCTTGTTAAACTGTGGTGTAT